GGGAACCCCTGAGAACTGTCTGTCCGGGGTGGGGGTCGGGTTCCTATAAGCACAGCCCTCGGCTAGCCTGAGGCAGCAGCTCCACGCTCTAAGACCTAATCTGATGCCCTGCCGGCACTGCTTCCGGCCATCCTTAACCTCAGTTCAGGGTCCACTCAGTGTGGACATGCTAGTTCGAATTAGCAAAACGCTAATTCGAACTAGTTTTTAAGTCTAGATGTGCTAATTTGAATTAGCTAAGTTAGTTCGAATTAGTGCTTTAGTGTAGACATACCCAAATTTAGAAATATACTGCTATTCCAAAACATTCCTGAATGCTCATGGGACAAGTTTTACAGGAATATCAGAATAGCGAGCCCGTTATATTTTGAAATAATGGGTTTGTTTAAAAGACATGGAATAGCTATTTTGATATATCAGAAGTATCCCAAAATAACACCACACTGTAGACGTACCCATAGTGTCTCAAGTTGGGCACTCAACTACTGAGGCATCTAGAGTAACAAGTCATTACTGAAATATTGGCTTCAGTGAATAGATAAAGATAAGGCCATCAAACATCTCATATTACTCTCATAATAAACAAACACATTATTCCAATGAAGTATAAAATAAATGGATAAAAGAATGAGGAGTGAAGACAAGGATTTCAGTTTAGATATGCTATGGTTAAGGTAATGATAAGACATAGAGAAGATGTTAGAGAGAGAGAGAGGCTGAGATTACAGAAAGACAAGGTCAGATTACAGAAAGACAAGGTAAGGGTAAAATAGTGGTAAAAGAGACCACTGAGGCTATGTCTACACTACAGGGATCTATTGGAAAAAGGTACTCAAATTACCCCCCGCAATTTGCTTACGTTTTTCCAATAGTTTTTTTGGAAGAGGCTTTTCCAAAATTTGTCCCATCTACACTGGGCCAAATTTCGGAAAAACCTCCTCTTTTGGAAGAGCCCTTCTTCCTCGTGGGAGGAGGAAGAAAGGGCTTCTGAAAGAATGTGTCTGCTCTGCCACACACAAAAAAAGGAAGAGGAGACACGTTCCCTGGACACAGAAGAGTTTTTCCAGGATACCCTGTAGTGTAGACATAGCCTGAGTCATCAGAATACAGATGTCATTCTATCCATTGTCACCTGATCCAAAATACATTTAAATCAATGTGAGTCTCCACATTAATTTTAGTGTTCTGTGGAACAAGGCCTCTGTCAGCTGATGAGATTGCCAAGAGAGAGGTTATAAAAGGATGAGGGAGAATAAAACATAAATGTAGTCATTCTGAAAGAAGAGGGAGAAAATAATATTAGAAATATATACAGTATACCCACAGATCTACAATATATGTTATTTATATATTTTTTATAGTTTGGAGTAATCCAAAGTTTGTCCTAAAGATGACTTAAACAGCACACATATTATTTACTGCCAAATTAACAAGACTGTTACTCACTGTGTAAGTTTCCAGAGCAAAATCTGGTTTCATACTTTGCGCCTTAGCAAGAGTCCCCACTATTTGATAGGCTCCCTCTTTTGGTTTACTTAACGTAACATCTATAGCTGACACAATTTCATTATCTTCTTCTTCCTCTTCTTCTCCCACCTCTTCAAGTGATGCTCCAACAACACAGTTAGATAAATACTACAACATAAAAAAAATCTATATATAAAGGGAGACTCGGTTTAATGCTTGTACATATGGTAAACTATTTTCCTCTTCAATATCAATGCACAACTTGTGTTTATATCAGGTATAGTAGAATCTCTCAGTTACAATCTACAGTCAACCTCACTTGGAACCCAAAGTAGGCAATCAAGCAACAGCAGAAACAAACAAACAAAAGCAAACACAGTACAATACAAAAATGCAAAAGCAGAGGCAAAGCATTGGGGGCGGAGGAGGGGCTACAAGCCACATTGCTCGGGGGAGGGGACTTGAGAAAAGGGGTGGAACTTTCCCCCGCATTCATTGGCAACGGGAAGTAGAGTGGTTAGAGCTGAAGGAACTGAGTGGGCTGAGTTCGAGTCGCTCCACTTCTCCCCACCGCCACCAGTAAGTGTGTGTGTGGGGTGGTGGTCTGACCAATACTGCCAGTGCCAGAACCCCTGCTAGTCCCTTGAGCTACATTGCTAGAGGAGAGGGACTGGGGGAAGTGAAAGAGTGGGGGCTGAGAAAGAAAAGCTGGAGAGGAGAAGGGGCAAGGATTTGGGGAAGGGCTGGAGTGAGGGTGGAGCTGAGAGATGGAGCAAGGGTGAAGAAGGGGCAGGACAGGGCAGGGGCAAGAAGAGGCAGCAGTGTGGGGGAGGTAAGGTGGCATCTTGTCTCTACTGGGGGAACCAGCTTTTTTGATACAGAGGCAGCAAGGGAGTGGAATGCAAGTAGATGACTCAACTATCAGATAAGCCTATCAAGCATATCAGTCAGTCGACTACTTGACCACTTGCTTACATCCTTACTCTGCACTGAAGCATTTTAAGACTGAGATAATTTTTAAATCTAAAATTATTTGCTATGTTTGCTTTTTGCATTAGCAGTAGCGAAAACAATGAAAGCAGACTAGTAAATTTCACTTTTGTTTATTCTAACACTACCTATTAGCAGCTAGATAACACTTGAGTACCAAGCCCAACCATTAAAGTTGCAAAAAATGGCTAGTATGTGTATGAGATAGTGTTTAATTCCAAATAGATGCCAAAAAAATAAGTGTTTTCACTGAAATATCATGAAACATAAGTTTTGTAAAACTTTAATTGAACAAACCTCAGAATTGTTTTTGAGGGTTGTGGCAAATCACATAAAATTAAGAACAGCACCGTTATACTTGTGATATATTTAATGTCCAGTATTTTTAAAGCCAGTCAGCCTAACTTTGATACCTGGAAAGGTGTTGGAACAAATTATTAAGCAATCAGTTTGTAAGCACCTGGAAAATGATAAGGTAATAAGTAATAGAGAGCATGTCAAAAATAAATCATGCCAAACCAACTGAATTTCTTTCTTTGGCAGAATTATTGGTCTAGTGCAGTGGTTCCCAATCTTTTTGATATTGGGGACCAGTAAACACCTTTACAAGCTTTTGGAGGACTGGTAACATTTATTTGCATATTCATTAAGCAAATGATGAATATGCAAATACATTGTGTCACTGGCCCTACCTTCCCAGCAGGTTGTTCCACTTCGCCCCTCCCCCCGTCCCAATCCCGGCCGCTTCAATGGTTGGTGCCGGTTCCCCCGGCTGCGTCTGGCACTGGGCGTTCTATATCGGTGCACATGGCGCCCGGCAGGTTGTTCTGTCCCCCGTCCTGGCCCCAATCCCAGCCGCTTTATTGGCCGGCGCCTGCTCTCTGGGCGGCGTCCACTGGCTCCATCGACAGCCTTGAGGGGCAGGGGGGGCCGTCC